TCCAGTCTCCATTGGCTCTCGATGACTTTGACAAAAATATCTCAAGAAACTGAATAAGTTGTTTTTTTTTCCATTTTTATTGTAGGCCTAAATAAAGTCTTACATTCTCCCATTGTGTAGCACTCTATTGCTACTCTTGAGCCTCCCTAGCTAGGCTAGCATTGGATTCCAAATCCATAAAAGTAAAAGTCGGAAAGGAAAATATAGAATTTAATAGTGCGCGGAGACATTTATTTGCTTTCACTGCCAATGCTGCAATGTTAAACTATCAGATAATCATAAATAGTCCACTGCAGAGGAGCCATCTTGTGGTGAAACATATTTTTGAATGCTCATTTAGACCTATTTTTAACATTGATAGGCTAATTTGGACTTAATACGCAGTGTTACCATAAGGATCAAATATATTTTGTGGCTCCAGGCAAATTTTTCTTTATTATTTTGGGTCAAAAATGGCTCTTTTGATAGTTGAGGTTGCTGACCCCTGGGTTAGATTATGGTTAGGAGTTGTAGAGATAACTGTTTGTAGTATAGGATATAGTTAGGTGCAGGTAAAATGCCAAAAAATATATTTGAAAAACTCAACAGCAATGTCTCTTTCCAGAAATCATGAACCAGTTACTCATCCACAGACCTTGTTGTGAGCAGTTTAACGTAGGAACTATTTTCTTTCTATCAAACCTCGCCTGCCAACTGCATCTACTGAGCTAGCTAACGTTACAGCTCAGCCATGGAAGATGCCGGTGATGTTTCCATCTCGCGCTGTCAAAAGCATGAGCCTCTCGTCCATGACTAGATGCACACTTCCTTCTGTGCGGTGATACAGTTGGTGGGTGTAGTTCGGTACTCAAGATATTCCACAGACCCTGTTGTGAGCAGTTTCAAGTCAGAACCCTATCACTGCCCGATGGAAGCATGCATCTACTCATCAAGAAGCTCATGCTTGTCACAGCACGAGATGAATATATTAGTAATATCCTCTTTGGCTGAGTTGTAACATTAGCTAGCTCAGTGGCGCTAGGTGAGCTAGCAGCAGATGCACGCTTCCTTCTGCACAGTGATACATATGGCAAGTATAATTTGGTGGAAAGAAATAGTTCCTACATGAAACTGCTCCAACAAGGCCTGTGGATTTGTAACTGGGTCATGATTTTTGGAAAGAGATGTTGCTGCTGAGTTTTTCAAATGTTTTGTTTTGTTTTGCTACACTCGACAGCTCACACCAAACAATCTGAATTGATAAAAATCACTACAGGTAAGATGTAAAACATGTAGTTTTGATATTGGGGTGAACCATCCCTTTGAGGTAAGGGGAAACATATCTACGGGGAAACAGACTTTGACACAACAGCATGCACCTGTCCCTTTCACCTCCCTTTCGTCTCTCTTTCGCACCCCCCCCCCCCCCCCCCCCCCCCCCCCCCCCCCCCCCCCCCACCCCCCCTGCAGGCTCACCTCCCACTTTGAAAAACTCTGCTGTAGAATAATAATCAGGTGTTCATGCTGCTGGTTTAGAGAGCTAAAGACAACCTGTAAGACCTTCTACAATTTTTGGCAAAACTATGAGCAAGCACAGTTGTACTCTACTTAATAAACCAATTTGTCATTAAGTGGCAGCCTCTTTGCCTTATCATTATCACATGGTGATGATACGGCTTAAGAGTCAGCTTCTCTCCTCATCTCGAATCCCATCTAAAGTCTTTGTAATTTCTTCACACTGAGAATGCAGATATGCAGACTGATATGGTATGTTATTCATAGCAACTGATCTATGATGCCTCGGAGGGTAAGCGTGAAAGTGACAGGAACTGTCACTGGGTCCTTGTCAGTCAGGTCTGCTGGCAGCGGGACAACAGAGCAGGTGGAGAGGAAAGATAGCTCACATACCAACATGCCACAGAGCAGCACAAAGCAGCCTGTGTTGGTTTGACAGCACGTAACTGCTCCCTCTTCTTTTGGCTTTGCAGCGAAAGAAGATTTTCGCTAGAAGCTAAACTAAGAATAACACAAAACACCAATGATAATTTACTTACTACTACCCTTTGGTGTCTTGAAAGTACAATGTCTTATTCATCTCTAATGCAAAAAAAAAAAAAAAATACACGTGGTTTATCTTTAAAATATTCAAACAACATTCAAATCCTTTTTGACTTGGCTCTTGTTTAAAGCCACTGACAGATCAGGTATTTACTTCCTTTGGAAAAATGTGTACAAATATACAAATATGTGAAAGTATTCTGTTTATATACCATGCAAATTGTTTTGATGGATTAAAATACACACTGAGAAGAATTCCAGGGTGTGATCGAGACAACAAAAGTGTGCACTTGGCACTGATGCATTTATTCAAAGACGACACACCTATTTGTAGATCTAATTGCACAATAAAAGATAAGAGTGATGATTATCAGTTGGGACGCCCTGTACTGTGTTACCAGCAAAATACTGGGGACTTTTAGATGTGGAAGGCCTTCAACATTGTCTAGAAAGTTAAGAAAAAAAAGGAAAAGTAAGTTGCATCAAACACTTACTGTTTTCTATACAAACTCTATATTGCAGCAATGTGGTGGAAATACCTACTCAGAGAGTTAGCTTTCAAATTGAGCTTAATTTTCACATCCGTGGGTGACCTTTACATCAAATTACAGAATAGAGCTATCTATTTGTCTCTGAAAGCCTGCAGCAGCGATAAAACGTCTTTCAGACCGACTGTCTGCTCAGTAATGTGCCATAATGATCAGCAAAGATGTTGCATAAAGGCTAAACCAGGAGGTGAGGAAACAGGTTGCACCGGTTCTATTGCCATCCCATCAGATAAAAAGCTGCTGAAGCTGAGCCAAAAAAAACTGGTGCCTCAATTTACAATTTGACGTGACACGAGGGCTTCACATGCCACCAGAGGAAAACAAATGACATATTCCAAATGCACATAAAGGAAATCTGTGACTTGGCATGTAGACACCAAAAAACTATAAGACTGCTTGTAATAAAAGTTGTTAGATCAGCTCATACAACTGACACCATTGTATAACAAGCTCATAAGTTTTGACATATGCGTCACTATGCAAACATGCAAACCGCATGTTTCAGATTCCTATCATCCAGTGGCCACTGGCTATGTGCTGGGAGTTACATTAAGGTATGTTCCAGCTATGCAGCACACATATTTTTATTCATTTAATCAACACCCTTTAATTATGATGTAAAATCCTCGACTGCGCTGAGCACTAAATGCAGCTCATGTTAAAGGAATACTTCACCCACAACATGATCATTTATAAATCAGTTGGTCATACCGTGTTACACTGAATTCCTTAAAATAACGTTGTTTTTCTCACATACCTCCACAGAAAATGGTGAACATACTGATTTACTGATTGGGGATCATGTTTAACACAAGCGGCAACTCACAGGGCTGAAAAATGAAGCCAACATGGAAGTGCCAGTTCTTTGAATGGCCACTTGAGGCTGGCTGCAGAAGGCTACAGCAGAAATTAACATGTTGAGGCCTACTCCGGACCCCGTAACACAGCCAAGCTACGCCAACCAGCAGGTTTTACAGCTAATTTTGACTGAGTCGCTACAGCTGATCTCAACATTCATGACAACTGTAAGGGTTGTGTCTTGTCATAACTCAACCGTTTACATTTTATTAAGGTTTAAAATTACTCATAGTTAAGTGTGGGCAGCTCTGAGTGACAGGCTGTCTTCAGATAGCGTCCTCGGCTTTTCAGTCAGACCCAACCCTCACTCCTCCACAAAGCCAGCCCCTTGCTTAAGTATGATCACTTCTGGCTCCAAAAAAAGTTGGTAATGGCAGAAATACCGAGCTCAAGGCTTCAAAATGGGAGTCCATAAATCAATAGGTAACATCATGCCAGCTAACACAGTTGGGCAGTGGTGTCCTTACTACTTTAACTGCATTTCTCAGTTGCATGGTGGTATTGTCACTACTTTCTGAGTCAAATAGTTTTTCAGAAGTAAAGTTGATTAAATCACTGAGTAGCGCGGTAGCATCCACAAAAGTTATAAGCAATTTTCTCAGGAAAAACTCTGAAGTGAAGTGGACTTGTTTTTCTGTGAAGGTCTGGATAACACTGAGAATAAGTAAAGTGACTGAGGTATGTAGATAAGGGAAACACTTCCGTATGACATCACATCCTAATCCTCCAGTTTATTCTGCTTGCTGTTTTCACTATTGGCTTTTCTTGGCAAGACTCACCATTTTCCTGGAACTTAGCTTGCTATATTACTCTGGGTTTCAATGCAGTGAGACTTTTTTCAATATTTTCCAAGTATCTTACCCAACACTGCCAGCTACATACATTATTTTAAGTCTTTGGTTTAACCAAAGCTTTGTCAAAACATCAGATTACAAACAGTCACACAGCTTGTGCAGTATAATTACCCAGTCATATACTTAGTACTTCCCAAACACATGCTTTTTGCCATAATATTACAATTTAAAACTGAACTGAGAGTGAAACGTACACTCTTCAAAGCCAAACTCCAGTACTAAGAGACTTGGATTATGTGGCACAAGTTGTGTGATTGTAAACAGATGTGTTTATATATTTTTGCTGTTGTTAAATGTGTTTCCCAATCAATCAGTCATATGTTCACCCATTTCTTTGGAGGCATGTGAGAAAAAACGTTTTTTTTTTAACAAATTCAAGCTAGAGTGGTGTGACTAATTGATAAACAAATGGAAATTCTGTGGGTGAAGTATTACTGCAAGTACACAAAAAACTGAATATTAGCCAGCGCTTGCTAAAAAAGTTCCTGTGGTCAAGAGAGCTAAAAAAAAACAATCCATTGGATTTTAGGAAGTGAAAGTAGACAACAGTGAAAGTATCTAAAAGGAGAACTAGGAGAGGAACTAGTTTCACAGCGGTGTCACTGAAACAAAGACTAACTTGTGACAGCACACGGTGACACAGAAAAAAGGTTCATACCTGCACATCACAAGACACATATCAAAATGACAAAATAACTCATCGTTGCCTCTTAAAAGTAACAATATTTTTAATTTACAAAAACCACAGCAACAGAGAGAGTGAGTGAAAATCCAAAAAGTTCCAGTTTCATGAGAAATAAAACACAGTACATATGGCTGTACAATGTGAGTAACAAGGAGATGCAAGTGTGTGTATGACTCAGTGTGTTCAAGTCACATGAGGCAGTGTCAGGGTAACACAGTAAAAATGAAAATGCATAAATATATGTGGTTAAGCTGCTTCCCGAAAGTTCTGTAATGTCTTCATCAACCGTTTATCAATCTGTTATGTTCCTTTACATGTAATATCTGCAGGGGGCTGTGGCAGGCAGATGAGGTGTAACATTTGACTCCTCAGTCCCTGAGCAGCCCCAGCTTCTTCAGCGCCTCGCGCCGGTCTTCTTCATTTTCTGAACGAGGGCAGATCAGCACACTGATGCCTTGTGATCGAGGCAGCTTCTGAGAGTCTCCAGAATGATGAGGGCCGGTGTAGACAGGCAGGGACCTCCGTAAGTCCGGCTCTTTGCTGACGGCACGGCTCACCTGTGGACTCTCTCCCTGAGAACTTGAAAACTCTTTCCCACTCCCCAGAGAGGCGGGGCGTGCCCGAGTGTTACGTAGCCTACCTGGGCTCTGCTCGCCACCGACACCCTGACTGGCCTCATTCAAGCCTTGACTTGCCATGTAGCTGCTTAAACCCAGACCAGAGCGCTCCAGGGTGTTTGATTTGACACCTTTGACCCTGGGTGGGGTTAGATGATTGGTCAGGGCAGGAGGGGTGAGAGGAGGGGTGTTATCGTGTGTATTAACTGTGGCCTCTGAAGCAGCAGACAGTTCATTATTGGACAATGGTGGCTTGACGTGGTCACTGAAAGCAGCAGGTGCTGGGAGAACGTCAGCAGGCAGGTCTGCGAGAGCTGTAGAAGTATCTGATGGTGACTCAGCTGCAGGAGCCTGCAGGGGGACAGAGGCAGGATGTGGGCTGCTCACACGGCTGTAAGATGGTGTGGAGGGTGTGGAGGGTGGTGTATATGAAGTGGTTGAACTGACTGGAGAAGAAGGAGCTGCCCATGACCTTCTTGTTTTGGGAGAGAGTTTAGGGCTGACGGAAGGGCCTTGATCTGCATCAGCGGGCAGCAAGCCGAGCTTTCTGAGGGCCTCAAGGCGGACCCTCTGGGGGTCCAGCAAGAGCCGGTCACCATTAGTGGGCACTGAATATCCCAAGTTGCCATCAGAGCCAGCGGCTGCTGCTTTGTGTGACTTCAGAATAATGTTGGCAGGAAGCTTCTTGGGCTTAGGGGCGACAACAGGTGGACTTCTGGGCTCAGGCGTTTCAGGAGGAGGAGGAGGAGTCATTAAGGGAGGAGAGCTGACAGGTGGTAGATTCAGTTCTGGTGGCTTGCTTTTAGGCTCCTGGGCCACAGAGGGGCTCTTCATAGAGGCTCTCTGCCGCAGCACCTCCAAGTCAATAGCTCCTCCTGGCTTGTTAACGGATATTCCTGCTGATGGAAAAAGGTCTTTCACTTTCGGCAGCTGTGGAGGGAGAGCTGGCTCATCCATGAAGTCTGAGGGAGGAGGGATAAAACCCACATCGATCTCAGAGGCCCCGGTGGACTCAGCAGCAGAGAGGCTGGCGCTTGGGACAATTATAAGATTACCATCTTCATCTTTGGTCACACACAGCTCATGAGGTGAGGGGTGGGTTTTGCTATTGAGAACTGATTCAGTAACAGGAGGTTTGTCTTGAGTCATGAAGTCCATTGATGTGTCAAAATCTGTCGTGTTGACCGCCGGGCTGGGAAAGGACTGTGGTTCTGAGGTCTGATTCAGAGCGTGATGCTCAGCTTTGTCTGCGATGGTTGAGGACTCATCAGACTTGAAACTGGAAATGTCTAAGTAAGAAAAACACAATTAATACAGTTGGTAGTCCAGTGATTGATGTTATTTGGGTGTAAACTGTGCATGTAAGATAAGTCATGACATGAACATACCATTTACTTTCATCCGACTCATTTTGTCGGCCTGTAACCCAAGATCTGGTTCATCGTTGGATAAGCCGCTGTCCTCCTGCACCTCCAGCGCTTCAATTGTTTCCTCCAGATACATGAGACATGCCCTCTCTTCTGCTGATAAGTGCTCCATACTGTCTTCACTCTGCACACAGAATAACAGATATGAAAAAACAAACATTAAAACAGTTTCCCAACTCTTCAGCTCTCTCTGTCCTCCTTTTAACCCTTAACACGGCCGCGACAGAACAGGAACAATAGGTCAAAGTTGTTTAGTGTTCAAACAGCTGCAAAGGAATGACTAATTACACCACTCCTGTCCTGTCCTTGGCCATCTTTCATTCTATATTGGCCTGTCAGAGGAATTTATTTCAGGTGACTGCAGGTGCATAAGAACAGTGTGAGATCTTCCCCCCTCTGGTCATCTTTATAGAAAACTCTCTGAAACTGCCTGACCAAACATGAGTATTTAACCTTTAACAGATTCACTTCCTCTCATTTGACCTTCTCATATTTACTGTAAATGTTAAAGACATCATCACAGCCTGATGCACAAATCTAGGTTCTTTTTTTCCCAGTGCAACAAAGGACAGAAGCACTGCAAAGCAATACTTCACCCACAAGATGATCATTTGTATATCAATTGCTCATCCTGCGTTATGTTGAATTCATGTTTTTATTCGCATGTCTCCAGCTTGAACGACAAATCCAAAAACTGAAAATTCCCAATGATCTGAAGTAGAAAGGAGGTCACATTTAACAACAACAAAACAATATCAAAACATCCAATGCATTCTCATCCCAAGTCGTCAACACTTTCTCACGCCACTCGTGTGTGATAGCTACACCAAAGGCACCCTTTCACATCTCTATTAGATGCAGAGGTGGGGGACTCCAGTCACATGACTTGACCATTAACTGATGATTATTTTCATTATGGGTTAACCTGCTGATTATTTTCTCCATTTGTTTGGTTTGGAAAAATTCTGGAAATGGTGAGAGATAGCATCACACCTTCACAATGTTTGCTTTTGTCCAACCAACAGTTCAAACCTCAACATAAAAATTATTAAATAACAAAAAGCAAAAGCGGTAAAAAATAGTCCTCACATTTGTGAAGCTGGAACCAAGAAATGTTTTGCATTACAAAATGACAAGATGATGATCAAAATGGAGGCAAATTTATTTTCTGTCAGTTCAATAATTGACTCATAGTTCCAGCTGTACTTGAACATTTGAACAGTTTCGAGTGCAAAATCTTAATCTAAAAGTAACTAGTACCTAAAGCTGTCAGATCAGTGTAGTTGAGTAGAGGTAGACAGTGGCATGAGAAGACTCAGATTTGTACTTACAGTACCTGAGTAAATGTGTTAAGTTACATTCCATGACTGGGTGCAGTTAATGCTTTATTATCTTTATGAGTTGTGAGTATGACTTGACTTGTGACTTGCATGACCTGACCAATGACTTGACTTGCCTGATTTCCATCACAGTGACTTGGGTCTTGCTTGAGACATGAGACTTGCTTATGACTTGCACTTTTTGACCTACTCCCAGCTCTGTTAGCTGCACCCTTTAACACATGTACGTGACACATAGCTTTCTTCTGGCCGAAACTGGCTCTAGAGTTGTAGGTTCGAGTTGTCAAAGGGCGGGGTTAGGGTTTAGGCAATAAAACTACTTGGTTAGGTTTGGAAAAAACATGTTTTGTGTTAAAATAACTTCTTAACATGTTGTAAAGTACATCACAGACGGACATAAGTTACATAATGTTTCAATAAAACTATGAACAGTGGTCTCCTGGTTTAAAGTCTGTGTTGGTTTGGTCCACCCACCCTACACTGACATTTTCGCTCTTTATACTCCACTGGTTCCTCTGAGCGTCAAATATTACATAGGACGGGTTTACATTGGAATTTACTGAGACGCCAAATGGTGCTTTTGTCGTCAACATCACACAGAGGGGCGTGAGAAAGCATCGGTTTTTGATGACTTGGGAATAAGAACGGGCTGAAACATTACTTCACAAACTGTCACACAGCTCATGCCATATAATCAGTCTCATTTATGCAGTCGTTTGCTCAGTACTTCCCAAACACATGCAATTTTCTTAAACTTCACTATTTAATGCACTTCCACATACAAGTAGCACTCCTGGGTAAGCACGTATGTTTAACCCCTGCTCCTGTAGTCCACTGAGCAAAGTTCAAATGCACACGATTTCCAGGAACACTATTCGTCCATGTGTGAGACTGTGTATGTGTTTTAAATAGTAAGGTTTTAGCAAAAACAAATGTGCTACGACTAGATAAATGAGACTTGGATTATACTGCAGGAGTTGTGTGAGAGCTTGCAAACTGAATGCTTTGATATAGTTTTGCTGCTGTTAAACGTGGACCCCTATAACTTCAATTCATCAAGAATTTTCTCTTTTTGGATTCTTTGTTCACTGTGGAGGCTTGTGAGAAAAACACAGTTTTCTTTATGAATTCAGTGTCACACGGGGTGAGTAATTGATATACATATGTTCATTTTATGGGTCAAGTGTTCCTTTAAAAAAATAATGTTCAGATAGGCCAGAGGAAACTAGAGTAACAGTAAAGATAAGGAACAGATAAGACACACGGTGAGCAGGACAGAAGACTGAGATGAGTATATCTACAGCAGCACTCACATAGCCAGAGTTCATGCTGATTACACTGTCACAGCTCCCGGCACTGTCCAAATTGCTCAAGGATTCCATGGCAACGCCGCCTGGCCACGTGTCACTCTTCGGCATTGCACAAGGAAGAGGACGAGGGCAGGACCTGGGCCTCGCGGTCCCCTTTTGATTGTGTAAATTTCACCAAGAATCAGCCTGAGAGAGAATCTGAAAAGGTCAAGGAGAGAATTTAAGAACGGGACAAAAACTGGAATCAGATGAAATTTATGTGGCGCCGCTATCTCCTTGACACAATTTATCAAATACAAAAACTGACCTGCTGAGATGGAGCCTTTCATAAGCTTAAATAGTTCACAAGATTGGTTTGTAAACACCACAGCAACAACTATTACTGTCAAATGGTTCCATTACTGTGATAAATGAGTGCCATAAATTACAGCTGATAGCGAAATGATCCTCATAATGTAATAGCGCTCCTATTTCACTGCCACTGTGATGTATTAAACACAACCAGACATGCTCATCAAGTCATTATGTGAATTATTGGATGAATTAGTGAACATTTTATTCACACATTACACCACACAGAGTAAGATGAAGTCCATAGCTCATTAGGGTTTTAGTATGTTAAAGGAAAGGATCAAAATTTGTCAAGTCATAGACATGTTGTCTCCACCTGGTTTTAAAGGTGCGTTACAGGAAAGTGATGTCATTTTCTGATCTTACCAGACTGTTCTAGATGTTCTATTATTTGCCTTTACCCACTATGTCCACAATACTTATGATTATCTATCAAAAATCTCATTGTGTAATCATTTTGCCAAGACACCAATAGTCTACTCTACAGTATAATCACTGTGTTGATATCGAGGTATATGGTCGAAAATATTGTGATATTTTATTTTCTTCATTTTGCCAATCATTGGTTCAAACTACTTGATCAAACTAGCAAGGTACATGTGATACTAAATTTTAATAAATACAAAACAAAAATACGCTCCAGGTGGTGATGTTGCAAACAGGATTCCTCAGTTAGTTACATAACTTCTAAAATAGCATCCAACAACTTCTCTGAACATTTGTTAATAAATAGCATAAATCAATACCTCTGACTGTGGTCAAACGAAGTTCTGTTACAGTAGAGAAGCAATGGTAAGATAAAAAGAATTATCCCTCTCCTTTATGGCTCAAAATTGTTTTTAGTTTCGCTAGATAACTACACACACAAAACAAGTCAAAAAGTAATTTAACTACTTAAATGACAACTCAAATATGAATGTGAACTACCAGCAAGCTGCTGCAAAATGTAGGTAAACTACTATTCTAATCACATGGAGTTCATGACCCCTCAACTCTGAGTATGTAACCTCTGAAAGAAGAAATATAGGCCTACCGTTCTTCTACTTAGAATTTGAAAATTGAGAAGCAATATGGTCCAGTATTTGCATTTCCATTCTAACTGATGTGAGTATGATGCTTTATAACATTAAACAGCTGTAGTAAGATAGTAAATGGTAAATGGACTGCACTTGTGTAGCACCTTTCTAGTCTTCCAACCACTCAAAGCACTTTTACACTACGTTACATTCACCCATTCACACCCATACAAGGTGCCACCTGCGACTCAGTAACCATTGACATGCTCTCACACACCAATGGAACAGCCATCTGGAGCAATTTTGGTTCAGTATCTTGCCCGCGGATACTTCAACATGTGGACTGGAGGAACCGGAGATTGAACCACTGATCCTCCAAGTAGTGGATGACCCGCTGTACCTCTGAGCCACAGTTGCCCCAGTATAAGGTATGGTATAAGGAGGATATTTTACATTGCAGCACACACCAGAGGTGTGGACTCAATTCACATGACTTGGACTTGAGTCACAAATTTGAAGAATTTAGACTTAAAAAATTTCAAATACTTTCAACTCAATTTGAACTTTATCAACAGTGACTCGTGACTTTACTTGGACTTGAGCCTTTTGACTAAAAAATACTTGACACCTTCCCCTAAGACCAAAGACTGAAAAGCATTTCATTGAAGAAGTTTGCCACAAATTAATTAATTTCCCTCCATTTCCTGAATCAACTAACATTAACACTATTCACTCCCAGCAAGTCGACACATCATACCCCAGATCCACTTTGTTTGAACTGATCCGAAAGCATCCATACAAGCTGCAGGAGAAAACCATCAAGCACTGACGTTATCTCACTGAGTGCCAGTTGGATAAAATCATACCAAAGACAATTTCGTTCACATACAAAAACAACTTAAAAAGCATTCATTCATTTTTCTGTAACTGCTTATCCTGTTAGGGGTCGCGGGGGGGCTGGAGCCTATCCCAGCTGACATTGGGCGAGAGGCAGGGTACACCCTGGACAGGTCACCAGACTATCACAGGGCTGACACATAGAGACAGACAACCATTCACACTCACATTCACACCTACGGACAATTTAGAGTCGCCAATTAACCTGCATGTCTTTGGACTGTGGGAGGAAGCTGGAGAACCCAGAGAAAACCCATGCTGACACAGGGAGAACATGCAAACTCTGCACAGAAGGGCTCCCCCACCCCAAGGTTCACTTGTGACTTGTCCTGAAACTTGTCAGTTTTGACCTGGAACTTGAGCGCCATGACTAGTTGAGACATACTTGTGACTTGTGAAACAATGACTTCATCCACCTCTGGCACACACACAGGTTGTGCTATGCAAATGGAGGAGGAGTCATAGTGATGCTTTAAGTGGTTTATTAATCAGTATTCCAGTCACTATCACTATCAGCGATCAAGCGAAAAATGCTCATCTTTGTTTGTGAATACGCATGACATCCCCCAGTCGTGTGCAGTCTGTGTAAAGACAGCTGATATGCTGTGTTATGTTGCAGCACTACACTGCTTACATGTGTTTCCTGCCTGTTATCCTGTGTGTATTACTACTGACAGGTCAGGCATGAGGAAAGCATTCCAGCCAAATATGAGAGGGATTAGAGCTGGCTCCTTGTCTGCTGAAAACATACAAGGACAGGGTTTTTCAAAATCCTCACTAATAGAGGGCTGATTTAGGAACAAACAGGGCAGTAAAGAAATTCAAAAGGCCACTTAAAGCAGAGTTATTACCTCTGTACTTTCCCTTTTAAGTGCTTAAAGTGCATGAGCAAGTGCCAGAGGCAAATACCACCAACAATGAGCTATGATTGAGACATGAAAGGGTAATATTTGATCTGCTCTGGGTTAACAGACTGGAGTGGATTTTTGCTAAATAGGTCAGACACATGCAATATACTGTACCCAGAGACAAAAGCTTAACAACCTGTTACATGACTTATTCAACACGTAGACACAGCTGCACAATCAGGTTCAGGTGTGTTCGTGGAAGCAGAGCAAAGCCAACTTCATTGTTCCTCTTATCTCTGAAAACATTTGATTAAACATATAAGAGCAACGGAATTAATGGTTCCCGTTACGAGTCAGTGTCACGGTTTGTCCACGAAATAGCCTCCGACATGATGTGAGGTCTCTGAGCCGCGACGGCTGTGAGTTATCGCCGTAATTACTGGGGCATGAGGTTCCTCTGAGGACGAGCCAGGCGCAGACACTCATTCACCGTAAACAACATGTCCCCTCTGCCAGCACCAGACAGTTCAGATTTCAATTGTGCGTGTGATACATGAAATGTTCCTAAAATAATGGGAGCAGCTTCAGAGATTTTTCATGTAATAAACTGCATTTTATAGCAGCAGCTTAAACAAGGTGAAAGATCAATCAGTGGCTCATTTTTATTCAGAGCTGCAGCAAACATCGAAGACAGTGAGGTCATGTCATCTATAATTTTCTGTGACTTTAGAGGTTTAAATGAGTCAATTTACATTCCCACAATTAAAGTAACTATCACATGGAGGGCATTTTAGAGGCACACTCAAGTATTTTTGAACATAATGGTTTCTCAAGAGAATCCACTGACCTTGCTGTGAGCAGTTTCATGTAGGAACTATTTTCTTTCTTTCAAACCTCACCTGCCAGCCGCATCACTGAATCCACTGCTAGCTCACTTAGCACGACTGAGCTAGCTAACGTTAAAGCACAGTTATGTTATCTCACCCTGTCACGAGCACGAGCCTCTTATCCATGAGTAGATGCACACTTCCTTCTGCACAGTGATACGGTTTGTGGGTGTAGTTCAGTACTCAAAATATTCCACAAACCCTGTTGTGAGCAGTTTCATATTTTTTTTGTACTGAAGTACACTCACCAACCGTATCACTGCCTGATGGAGTGTGCATCTACTTGTCAACAAGAGGCTTGTGCTTGTGACAGCACCACCCACCAAACGTGTCACCAGGGAGAAGAAAGTGCACATCTACTCATGGATGAGAGGCCCATGGTTGTGACAGCCCGAGAAGTGAACTTTAATGGCGTCCTCCTTGGCTGAGCTGTAACATTAGCTAGCTCAGTTGTGCTACGGGATTTAACAGTAGATGCACGCTTCCTTCTGCACAGTGATGCAGTAGAAAAAAAATAGTTCCTACATGAAAGTGTTCACAACAAGGTCTGTGGATTATCTTGAGTAACCAGGGGCCTGTATCACGAAGCAGGATTTTGTCTAAGCGAGGTAACTTCAGGGTTAACCCTGGGTTTTCGGTCTCACGAAGCCGGTTCAGTTCTTATCGGGGTAGATCACCATGGTAACTTACTCTGAACGGCTATCCTGCTCCGGAGCAGGGTAAGTTCAGGGTTGAATCTGATCCTATAAAAAGCACCACCCACTGGCCAATCAGCTGTTCGGAAAAAAATGACTCCGCTGACAGAAATGCAGCCCAGTCATGACGGGAA